ATTCAGATCAGCGTGTGAGTTAGTGACTGTGAGTTGTGACAGCTGCCATGCCGCTGCTGCTGCTTTCCGCCCGCTGGTCCGTTGCCAAGCACTACGACCCCAGCGGTGGCAGCGGGAAGCTCCGCCGCGTGAGCCCGCCGCACCCAGAAGTGGGCTGGGTGAACGTGCTGGCGGAGCGGCCAGGGCTGCAGCACGTCTTGCAGTGGCAAAGGGACATCCAGCGGCCGCCGCAGAGAGAAGCAGACCTTGGAGCCGCAGCTGCGGCATCGGCAGAAGCCAAGCCGCCTCAGCCTGAGCGGCAGCGTCCTGGCATTTCCTCTCTTTGCGGGCTGGTTCGGGTTCGAGCCGGCCAGACAGCCCGCGGAGCTCTCACGCGGTGGACAGCGGAGGAGGATTATCTCCGCAGGCTTTTGTTTGACGACAGTAGTTCTTGGCAGTCAATGTGTTCGCTGGAGATCGAGAGCTTGCTTGCTTTCGATCGCGAGTATGCCTCCCACAGCCCGACACGGTTTGCGTCTGAGCTATGGGAGCCGGAAAAAATTGAGTTTGCGGACTTCTGCTGCCGCAGCGGCGCGAGCTGCCTGGGCCTGAGGACGAAGCTGGGCGCAAGCTCAGATGAAGTTGCGGTCTTCTTGCGGCGGCCTCTCGCTTTGAGAGTGCCTGCCGCTTTGTTTGATTTTGCGAGGATGCTGGAGCACGCTGGTGAGTGGAAAAACCGGCCGCTGACTGAGATCCGAAACTTAGGGGGCAAACAAACCACCGCAAGGACCAGCCAAATGGTTTTCTGGGGTCTCAAACCTTAAACGCGCGTTTTTGACGTTTTCTTGACGAATTTGTCTCGTTTCATGAATTCCTGTAGAATTTCAAGAAATTGAGCACGCTCTTGTGCGCGCTCTCCTTCCGTAGCTCATTTTCGCGCGAAGCCCCAAGCATTTTCTGTTTGTGGCAGAAACTAAGATTCTTGGGGTGTCCCGGGGCGTCCCGGGGCGTCCCGGGGCTTCCCGGGACGTCCCGGGCAAACGTGCGATTTTGATAGTTTTCCGCCGGCCGAAGGTTTTTGGGTGTCCCAGAGTGTCCCGGAGCGTCCCGGGGCGTCCCGGGGTCCCGGGCAGTCCCGGCAGCCAGAGTTTGGCGCGCCTTTCCATGAGAAGCAGTCACGGGCGCAGAAAACTCCTTCAACTTAGGATTTGCGCTCGCTTTTAAGGATTTTAGGGTTTTTCGACACAAATTCACGGGTTGTTGTGTGTTTTTTGCTTGAAGCATCAATGTTTTTTGCTTGGTTTTCAGTTTTTTCACCCAATTCGACGTTTGCAAGGGTTGCAAGGGCGATTTCCTCGCTTGGGTGTCTGCGGCGTAAGTTGACGTTCGCAGGGCCAATCTGTCCAGTACTTTCTTGCGAAGGGGGGCGCGGCTCTAGTCTGGAGTCTTGAGTCTTGAGATGGGGCTGCTCTGCCGGGCTCTGCCTGCACACTCGCAGATTGGATTTGTTTCGCTGTCCCGTCGTTGGTGGCAAACACAGCCACAGGCGCCACTCCCAAGAAAACACGCTGCAGCAAGTGCCATGCGCTCTGCAGACACACCCTTCCGAACCCCACAGCCCACAGCCACAGCCCACTTCCGCACATCCGCGTCGATCTCAGCAAAAGCTCAGAGTTCCAGCGCGCCTTTCTCCTGCAACTTGGAAGCAACGCGTGTTTTCCAACAAGTGCAGCCCCAAGGCAGCGCGTTATGAAGAATAAGCGCCCAGCTCCAGCGGATTTGTTCGCAGTCCAGGTTTGCGGCAGCAAGCGCAAGGTGATTCGGGCGTTGTGCAAGTGTGCCTTCCCCAGTTTGCCAGTCACTGTCAGGTCCACCTTTCTGTCAGTTCGCACAGCCTGCGCTGTTACTATCGTTTTCCAGGCTGCCTCAGCAGGCTTATTGGACGCTTGCTCATCGCAGTCGCTGGGCGTAGGCGTTTGCGTTTTGCGCTCCCTCGCAGCAGCTTGTTAGCTCGCAGCCTGGCAGCCATGGATGAGCCGCGGAAGAGGCAGCGGCGGGCGGGCGCCGCCTTTGCTTGCGAGGAGGCGGCGAGCCTGCCGCCGAGGCTAGCTGCAGCGGATGGCCCGCGAAGCATGTCCGAAAGCGACATGTGGCCAGACCTGCTCTTGGAGAGTTTGGAGCGGGCAGGCCTGCTGGGCAACTTTGAAAAGGCTATGGCAGGTCCGCGGGGGCCTAGCTCCTCAAAAGTTGAAAGCTAGCCACACAAAGCAAAACCTGCCAAATCGCATGGCCCGAATGTGCACAAAGCGGTTTTGTGGCCGAATTTTCAAAACCACGTGGTCGATTTGTGGAAACGCTGCTTGGCTGCCGAAATTGGCAGATCACGTGGTCCATTTGTGTGAAAGGCTGGCTTGCGCTGAAATCCAGGTTTTCTGGCCCGAACAGCTCGCATCTAAGGATTTAGCGAATCTAAGAGGCAGGATGCCCTACTACCAGGAAATCAACTTCAGGTTTCAACATCATCTTTTTGGGAACAACAGTTGCATTTGGCAGCAGAACTCAAGCTACAATAGCACTCAGCTCAGCAGAGTCTGAACTCTACGCCATTTGCACAGGAGTTAATGAGGGACTACACCTCAGAAACTTCCTACTTGAAACCAACATTTGCAGCAAGCTAAACCTACGCATCCACACAGACTCCACAGCAGGCAAGAGCATTGCTACACGACAAGGCACTAGCAAACGAGCAAAACACATCGACCTCAAATTCCTCTACACACAAGACCTCATCAAGCACGACATCATCAGAATCCTTAAGATCAACACACTCCACAACAGCGCAGATTTGTTTACCAAATACATCAGCAAAGAAACACTACACAGGCTCATCCAGAGCATTGGAATACGCATCTAGCACTACGAACGACCAGCGCAGCAGTTTCACAACAACAACAACGACTTTGGACATTTCATGTATGTAAGTAGCTACATGTAACACGACACTTTTGGTATGTAAGTAACAGTAACTACATGTACTTTCACTTGCACTTTTGGCGGCTTGAGTCAACACTACAGTTGTCTGTTTTACATGTCTGCATTCGCCGACTGCCTGGTAGCAACTACTTAGGCTCATTTGTTTTGCCCCGTTTCACTACATTTTGCATTCCACTGCAGCCATGGCCGCCCCATCTACTGCAGATGCTACGATGGGAGACGCCGCTACGCCCGACAGGGCGACTACACCGGAGGTGGCTGTCACTACGGACTCCAGTGACCACGGAACTCCACCACCTCAAACCTACAACGACTCCAACTACCACTTCAACCATTCTACACCCGGCAACACCGTCTACTACAACCCGACCGCAGTGATGGACCAACTACACATCACTGAGCACCAGACAACCACTGCACCACCACTGCCCAACAACATTATATAAACTCAATTTTTCACTGCATTTACACTTGAAGAGTATCAACTACTCTAGCTACTCCACTGGCACAACTGGACTACACTCGACCCATTCACTGCATTCCTGGAGATCTTCGGATGCCCCACTACAACTCTACACTGCTCAGCATTTCACTACCTGAAGCAGCCAACGTCCACTACTACCACACGACTTCACTCCACACTACAACTGGCGACAACACCAACTACGTCATCATCCAACTTCAGATTGAACAACCACTACTCCTGAGGTACCTCACTTCAGGACAATTTCTACACTTGACAAGGGACTACATCTCCTACATGATGTCGGTACAACACAACTACTACCTCCCGACTACAACACTGCCACAGCCCATCTTCAAGGTGAACTACAACATGACCACCTTCACTGACAACTACAGTCTCAGGAACAACTACGTTTGGAACTACCACATGCCACTACTTCTACCTGAACTACTCCACTACCTTTACAACCGAGACCAACTACACGACTTCCAGCACAAAGCAATCACTACAATCCTCTGCAAAAGCATCCAATACTACGGATTCACACTACTCACCATGACCAACCTCACACAACACCACAAAGCACTACTACACCGCTTTCTACGGGACTACGACCAACACATGTCGTGTCCCGAGATAGATGATGAGCGACTACGGGGAGCTCCAAACTACATGACAACCTTTTTCACCACCAACTACTATGCGACCTTGGACAGTCAACTACAGAAGGTCCAAGACTACCGCACCCAGAACTGGGGACGACATTTTTGAGCTTGCCTGCCTTCACTACTTCCGTCCAGCGACTACATCGAGCTGGAACCTGAACAGCGTGAACTACTGAGCGCAGGTCACTACTTTTGTCAATACAGTAGACTTGATGAACAACAATGGTTTTCATCACTACTGTCAATCCACATTTTGCACTCCAGTTGAAAAGGTACTACAAAGACCTTTTAACTGAGGGGCCGTGTCAAACTACATGCTTCACTGTGCACTTGTGTTGCATGTATGTTCACTACCGCAGGCCTTGAGCTTACTACTCTGCATGAGTCAAAAGGTTGGCAGCTGCAGACAACAATCGGTTGACTGTTTATTTGAACACTACAGCACTTGCACTTGTAAGCAAAGTAACCACCGATTTTAACGTCTCTCTCTCTCTCTCTCTCTCTCTCTCTCTGAAAGTTCTGAGAACCATGTCTGGGTTGGGGTGGTCTTTGCTCTTCTTAGTTAGAAAGTTACACCCGGTTCCCTCGATTCTTTCCTGAGGTATTCCAAGTGTTTGTCCATAGGATTCCACCAATCCAAAGTTGGCAAGCGGACAACCCAGGGTTTGTAGGATCTAAAGGCAAACCTTAACCAGGCTTTCTACACTACCAAGTCCCTTCTGGTTGCTGAAGCACATACATTTTAGCCATGTTGAAAATCACATTGATGTGGACAGTGCTATTCTGAGTCAGGTAATGTTCAGATGTATCCTTTGGGGAAAAGGGTTTCCATTTCCCACACAGCCTAAAGGTCCTAGGAATTTCTGCGCGCTTTTTGACCGCGCTTTACGCAGCAGGCGGTCAAGGTGGACAGTGTGGTCACCATGGACCTAGAGACATCCTCGGCGGCTCAGGCGCGGTGGTTTGGAGGTGGTGTCCACTACCTCCAAACCACCCCAACGTAAAAATGGTACCCTCCAAAATACAGGCTCATAGATGCCCAATGCTAGAAACTTGGTGGACGGATTCCTGCGACTTCCCTTCGTTGAACAACTTTCTACCCCCGCCTCTGGAGGAACCCTGAGGGTGAAGCAACAGCTTTTTGGGCAAGGCCTGGAAAAAGTGAACGGGTTCCCGTATCCCTTTCGGTGGCTCACGTCCGATTGAGCGCAAGCCACCCATTGGCCGTAGTGGTTCTACTTGGGTTTCGTGAGGGCATCTCCTCAATCTTTATAACCATCTTAGTAGAAGCGAAACAAACAGCTCGGGTTTTGTGTTTTGCTGGGATGTGTTTCCTTTTGGTTGGGGATGTTTTGAGGACGGTAACTCTGGTGTCCTTTCCATCTGACTGCTTCAGGTGTCCTGTTGCTCTCCCAAAAGGAGCGCCGAGCCTCAAAATATAGGCGCGCCCATATTGGGGGAGTTCTAAAAACTTCTTTTGGGACACAGATTTGATTTGTACCGCAAATTAATTTGGAGAGTATCGCTTCAAGGGGTATTTCACTATTCTACTTATGTCCGGACAGAGCTTATTCACCTCTTTAACTTTTTTGCCCTTTGGATCTAGGAAACAGTTTGGATGCGCAAACTGTGGAAATCCACGTGGTCCTCCTCCTGTTGATTGTTTATCCTACACGGGTGGATCCACAAAAGCCGCATCCCAACTGATTCTAGATGTGGTTTTCCTTCGTTTTCCATTTGCAAAACAGAACCTTGTTCTCATGGGGGTACCCAGGCTGCTATTTGACACGTTTTGAGGCCAGCCAAAGGCCGCTTCCCTAGTCCTCCCTCTCATCGCTTCGGGGCGGTTGCCTGTTGCACGGCGCTTTTTTCCCTTTGCAGGCTCCTTTGAAGTGCCCTTTGATTCTTGGAGGGGTTGCAACAAAGCCAGACCTGGAATATCCTCTCTCCCGCGTTGCCATGACACCTGACAGGCGGTTTTTGCAAGAGGGTTCGAAATTTGGATCCGGAAAAGAGCCCTGTAGGTCTTGTGGAAAGTATTCCAAATTGAGCCTGCAAAAGGTTGTTTTCGTTGCTAGGGGTCAACTGGCCTGTTTGTGGTAGGCATGAGGAGATGACAGGCCTTTAGTAAAACTTTAGGGTATTCTTGCAATGCCGCATGGCAACATGGAATCCAAAAAGTCATCAGGCCAAGAGGAAGCTTCTTTGGGTGCCCTAAACGGTGTAAATCCAACACCCGGGCTGACAAATAGATTCCCCTCCAATGGAAGCTGGGCTTGGAAGACCTGTGCACATCATGTTGTTTCTGTCGGGAAAGGTTCGGCATCCAGGCTCTTTCGGCGCCATCCGCCCAGACCAACTTTGTAGATCACGTTTGGGAATCAATCAGTTTATTTAGTTTGCCCGCCCATAAGGCTTAGCAACCCCAAACCCTTGAGCCGTCTTTGGAGGTTTTGTTTTGGTAGGGTCCTTGAGATGACATCCGGTTCTTGCCAATTCCAAGTCGGTGTCAAGCTTCGTGAGGCCAGTCCCGTCTCGCACGTGCCAGGGGTCCCTCTCGTTGCCGGAGCTCAGCGATTCCCCGCAGGTGCAAGTTGGGGTCCCGTTTAGCGATTTACTCAGTCCCGTTGTTTTTCCTTTGTTTTGAACATCACCTTTTCGGCGGGGGTGATTTTCCCTTTGCAAAACAGAACCTTGTTCTCATGGGGGTACCCAGGCTGCTATTTGACACGTTTTGAGGCCAGCCAAAGGCCGCTTCCCTAATCCTCCCTCTCATCGCTTCGGGGCGGTTGCCTGTTGCACGGCGCTTTTTTCCCTTTGCAGGCTCCTTTGAAGTGCCCTTTGATTCTTGGAGGGGTTGCAACAAAGCCAGACCTGGAATATCCTCTCTCCCGCGTTGCCATGACACCTGACCGGCGGTTTTTGCAAGAGGGTTCGAAATTTGGATCCGGAAAAGAGCCCTGTAGGTCTTGTGGAAAGTATTCCAAATTGAGCCTGCAAAAGGTTGTTTTCGTTGCTAGGGGTCAACTGGCCTGTTTGTGGTAGGCATGAGGAGATGACAGGCCTTTAGTAAAACTTTAGGGTATTCTTGCAATGCCGCATGGCAACATGGAATCCAAAAAGTCATCAGGCCAAGAGGAAGCTTCTTTGGGTCGCGCGACTCACTGCTTTGACCGTGTTTCCCAGTCTTTTCCTTGTCGCTCACGCCAAACCAAGACCCCGCAACATGCCCTAAACGGTGTAAATCCAACACCCGGGCTGACAAATAGATTCCCCTCCAATGGAAGCTGGGCTTGGAAGACCTGTGCGCATCATGTTGTTTCTGTCGGGAAAGGTTCGGCATCCAGGCTCTTTCGGCGCCATCCGCCCAGACCAACTTTGTAGATCACGTTTGGGAATCAATCAGTTTATTTAGTTTGCCCGCCCATAAGGCTTAGCAACCCCAAACCCTTGGGGCGTCTTTGGAGGTTTTGTTTTGGTAGGGTCCTTGAGATGACATCCTGTCCTTGCCAATTCCAAGTCGGTGTGAAGCTTCGTGAGGCCAGTCCCGTCTCGCACATGCCAGGGGTCCCTCTTGTTGCCGGAGCTCAGCGATTCCCCGCAGGTGCAAGTTGGGGTCCCGTTTAGCGATTTACTCAGTCCCGTTGTTTTTCCTTTGTTTTGAACATCACCTTTTCGGCGGGGGTGAGGCGACTTTCAGAAAACAGACGCGAATGCCAGACAAACAAATGTCAAACACAGACGCAACATTCCGAAAAAATGAACGCGGAATTCAGAAAACAGACGTTTGGGACGATCGGGACGGTCGGGAGTCGGGATGGTTGGGATTTTCGAGCTGGTCGGGATAGTCGGGACGGTCGGGACGGTCAAGACCATGGGACGGTCCGGTTGGTCGATTTGGTCATGGTCGGGACGGCCGAGAGCAAGGATTGTCGGGACGGCGGCGGTGGTCGGGATGGTGGGCGGGTGTTGAACTGGTAGAGGTTGGAGTGTTGGACCAGCAAGGCCGCGTCAGCTTCGCCACTGTCCGCCCAACTACGTCGCCGAAATTCACATAAGCATCGGCCGAATTTCCCCTTGCTGTTGGCCGAATTTCACGCATCTCAGTGGACTGCGACTCCCGTTCAATGAGGCACTCATTTTGGACATATATGGATATGGATGTCAACATGAGCTCAAAGGAATTCAAAGGAGCTGCCGTTTGTCGTCTCTGCTTTTTGTTTTTTTTCGGGCTGCCCATGAAACCAGAGTTTCAAATCAGGATCTGGCTTCGTACTCGCTTGTTTTTTGACGCCGGGCGTGTCCTCAACCCATGCGTGCCAGGCATTGCCTACATTTGTTTAGTGGTCAAAACAACTCAGGGAATCTAGCGATTTCAATGTTAGCTGGGTGGCTGTATGCAATTTGGCCAGCGTGCGTGCAGTTGTTGGCAGGTCCACTAGTGAGCCATTGGGCATTCACCCTGCATCCAACCTCACCTCAGTCCCACTCAGCAACTCACTTCTTACACTCACTTCCTAACTCTTGCACCCCACGCCACTCTTGCACCCGACCGCGCCCCAACTCACACCCCCACTCGACGCCACTCCAGTCCACCCCACGCCACGCCACCCCACGTCACGCCACGCCACGCCGCGCCACGCCGCCCCACGTCACGCCACGCCACGCCACCCCACTCCACTCCACTCCACTCCACTCCACTCCACTTGCTCGCGCTCGCTCTCTCGCGCAGGACACGCCGCGCCACCCCGCCACGTCACGCCACCCCACACCACGCCGCCCCACGTCGCCACCCCACGCCACGCCGCCCCACACCACCCCATGCCACCCCAAGCCACGCCACGCCACGTCATGCGCCCCACGCCACGCCACGTCACGCCACCCCACGTCACGCCACGCCACGCCACTACACTCCACTCCACTCGCTCTCGCTCGCTCTCACTGACTCTCGCTCGCTCTCGCTCGCTCTCTCGCACAGGACACGTGGAGCTCTTGGATTTGGAACCTGGTGTCCCTGACGCAGAAGGAGCAGGTGGCGCTGCGTAAGGGTGGAAGGTATGATGGAAGCGGTCAGGTGGTCATTATTATCCGTGGGCTTTGACCACTGCTCAGGTGCAAACAGGAATGTTCCACATCAAGTAAGGGTCCCTGATAACTTGGATGTTCAACCGAACCTGGGTAAGGGAAGGTCATGAAATAGTCTTAAGCATACACGCGTGCGGATATCGGCCCTTTGGACTATGTACACGCTTTTGGATGGATGCGTCCAAAATATCCGGTTTTTGCATGTGACTCAAACCTTCTTTCTGGTAATGTAAGTTAGCCTGTGGTAGGGTAGCTTGCGCCCAATGTGGGGAGCGCCCTTCCAACAATAATGCAGTGGAATAGAAAGGAATGGACGGGAAGCGCAAGAAACTGCAAGGAGACCGACAAACAAATGAAATCAGAAGGACGAGGAAAACACGGAATGGGAAAAATCAGAGAATGGAAAGGACATGGAAAGGAAATGGAAGGAATCGGAAGGGACGCGAAAATGAACGGAAAGGAAGCACAAAGAAATGAAGAGGAATGGAAGCACAAAGAAATGAAGGAGGAAAGGACACACAAAATATATTATGGACAGGACATGGAAACGGGCTACGAAAGAAAAGGAATGGAAGGGAATGCAAAGAAACGGCAAGGAAATGGAAAGGAGATAGAACAGAGTTAGGAGGGAAATGAAGAGGGAATGCACAGAATTGAAGAATGGAAAGGAAACAAATGGAAGGGACATATGGAGAGCAAATGGAAGGGACTTGTTAAAGGATATTAAGCATATCGAAAGGGAATAGCTAAAGGAAACGGAAAAGAAATGGTTAGGAAACCTGTCGACATTAGTTCTGATTGTTCGCGGGAAACTACAAAACAAACGCATTTTAGCACCGGCTGGCCTTGGGGGCACTTCTAGCTAGGAATGGAAAGGAAATGGACAATCTTCAAGGACAAGGGAATTAATGGAAAGGACACGCAAGGAAACCCCGGTCCACCAGCAAACATTGTTCCCCTTTTCCAAGAGGTCTAGGTCTGGCAAGGGGTCAGAAGAGCCAGTTGAGATCCTGGGCAAGTAATATCGACCTCACCCATGACGAAGGCTCCTTACTTGGGGGTTCCTCATTTCCGTAACTAATTGCGGGTGTCTTTTTTGACGGTGCGCTTTTTGGGTGGATTTGCGGAAGCAAAAAGGGCCAAACCTCACGGACTCGTTCCCCCGCCATTCCACTCCATTGCATTCCGCTCACTAGCAGGCGCCGGAGAAGGAAGCAGAGGAGTGCCGGGGAAGGGCAGGGCGCATAGATCCGCATGATTGGCTTGACTTGCTGAATTGTGGCTTAACATTTAGGGCCTTATTCCTATGCTTCGCAGCCTACAGCCTTCATGTCCCTGAGGCTTTTGGAGTTTGTATCCAGTCTGGCAAGCTAAAAGGTGAGCATAGATTATCTGACATGTTCCAAGTGCACCAGACGCATCGTGGATGGGAGCCATTTGATGAAGAAGAGGCTGTACATGCGTTTTGCAGGGTTTCCATAATTACTGTCTTTCCCAAGCGACATCCATGTCGTGTTTGTTCCTCTTTTCGTTTTTGCATTATGTGAAACCTTGATCCAACAGCGCTTCAGCATTTGCAGCAATGACCAGGCAGCCGAAGAACCACGGAAGGAAGAGCCGGCTGCCGCAGAGGAGGCGCGTTTGCGATGGTTTGGGTGTGGTGTTTTGCTGCAAGTGCAGCAGAACGTTCAGCGCATTCAGATCCCAGCCACGGTGTCTGTGTGTATGCGCATAAGCGCGCGTGCGTGATAGTCTGCAAGCATGCTTCCAGCGAGTAGAACACGGCCGGTGGTTGAGGGTTGGCTCAAGATTAGCTTAGGGTTGGCTTTGGGTTGGTTTAGATTGGGTTTTAGGGGCAGTTTGAGGTTGGTTCAGGGTTGGTTAGTTTAGGCGGCAATCCGGCCGTCTAGCCACCCGGCCATCCGGCCATCCAGCCAGCCACTGCGAGGCACGCCATAGTTGAGGGGTTGGGAAAACAATCAGAAGGATCAAACTAACCAGCATTACGGAATTCCACCGAAGCATCACTCATTCCCTTTGGAACAACAAGAACAATAGGACACGACTCCCCTCATTTGCCACTTCATGAAGTGACATGGAAAGCAAGCATTGACAGAAAGAAAAGACGGGCACTAGCAGTTTCTAATGGTTATTCACCAAGGAACAAGTAGGAGGACAATGACCTTGGAAGCCTCCTGAGGCATTCCCCCCGCCAAGCATCTGGAATGATAAGGACAAAATGGTTTCTGGACTTCCCTGAGGTTCTATTTCCCATTCAAACAATTAGAGCAAATTGAATATTGGAAGACTGACAATTCACACATTACAGGAGGGAGTCCCATCCTGCGAGGCACCACTCCCCTTGAACATGTGTTGCATCATTAGAGCTAGCGGGACATCATGATTTCAGGAATGCCTTGAATCAGCATTGCCGTTGAACAAAGGTAGAAGCAAGAAGAAACATTATGTTTATAATAAGCCGATTACGGGAGACCCATGATGCACGAACCAGCTCGGACATGTCGAATTGGGAGAATTGTCAATGTCGTGGAGCAAAACTATTCCGGACTTCCCTGTGGCACCTCTCTTTTGAACCGGTGTTTTTTTAGAATAACTAGAACATTGTCAAAGAGGTAATTTTCCAATTCCCACCACGCCTCACTTCCTTTGAAAGGATACTGGGATGACTACGAAAGAACAATGACCCCAAACACCTCCTCAGGCACCAATTGCTCGACATGTTTCAATCCCAATTCCCACAAGCGATAGGAGTTGGGTTGATGCCCGTGTACTTGTTTATGCTCCAGATATTCTGGTGGTTCCTATTGTTCCAACTGCGGTACTTCCTTGCAGCATCCCCATGTGTGTTTTGCTATACATTCTAATTCCGCTAATCTGTTCCAGCTCGTTCAAGGGGACTGGTGTGTCAGGGAATTCCCAGAATAGTTCGCTAATCTGCCTCAAACTAGCTACAGAAGTGATGGCTCACGGCATTCTGCTATGTGTTGCTTTAGGCATTCAAGTTAGGTTGAATATGAATGTTGAAATCATGTTTTCTGATTGCGCTCCTGTGTATGATTACAACCATGTCCAAAGGGAATAGTGCTTCAGGGCATGGCGTTTAAGCGGTGCCTCTCAGAACCCCTCGCGTGATTGTCTACAAGGCGAACCAGCTCTCAGGGTATTCCTGGAACCATCTTGTTCCAATTCTAATATAGTAGTTTACATAGAGTTGACACCGGGGGTGGGTCTCGAAACAGCTATTTGACCACGCAGATGACACCTGAAAAAATATTGACACATGTTTTCTCATAGTCTTAACATCAGAATTTGATCACTGTTTGGGAGCAGTCATGATCCATTATGCCCCATGTCAGTGGTTTGATGATGGCGCAAGCCTCAAAATGTCAGACATGTCAAGTCTATGTGTCCAAATTGTAGCGACTGCCCTGTGTGCAAGAAATCGGCCAACATAAATGCTAAAAAACACATCAACACAACAACATGTCAAGATAACAGAAAATAATTGCAGGGTGTGATATTGCCCAATGAGATTCAGTGTCAAGACTATGCATTTAGCATTTGAAGGCCATACTGGGCCATACTTTTGGCTCTTGCGCCAACTCAACAGAATATCATGTACCAAAAACATGAAGCATCAGCTCAATGAGATGGCATTGGTACATGCATGGTTGTGATACAATGTCAGTACGTCATGTGAATACACCGGAACATCATGGTGAAATCAACCTGACCGTAACAGACTGCACATGCGAAATTGTAATGACATGTGAATGCATGGACTTGACATGTGAAGGCTTTACAATCATTCATTTTGGTAGCCAACAATGCGGACTCATGGGGCTAGCCGCCGTTTGAATGCATGGACTTGACATGCGCAGAGTTGGCGTTCATGTCACCGGTGCATAAAATTGGTCATGAGTCATGACTGATAGGTCGACTCATCTATATAACACGTACCAACAAAACATGTCATGCAGCCTGACATATTGAATATCAAACATCATGAGTGAACCAGCCAATCCGAGTGGAACACAGCAAGTTGTTGCTATTGTGGTTTCTCAAGACACACCCAAATCCAGAGAATGCGCACCTTTAATCGGCAGTCTAGCGCCGCGGGGCGCAGACTTTCTCACCCAGAAGTTGTCGCGCCTCGCTGGGGACTTTGCACGTTGGCTCAGCCTGGATAGAATGGAATGGAAAACACGGAGCTTGATGCTCTTAAGTGCGACAGTGGGCGGAGTCTCACCTTTTGAACTCTCTCCAAACAACCTTGCGCAATTGTTCACAGCAGCAAGCAGGAGCCTTGCCCTGGTTGCACAACTACATAAGTACTGTCGAAACACCCCCGGCAAGTTCCGGCAAGTTCCGGCGTCGCAACAGCGCCCTGCAATTCTCTGCGCCCCAGCTCGCCGGGGACGCCCCAACTAAATCGAATTCTTGCCAGGCCTGGTGGGACTGGCTGTGCGTGATGGCAGCCTGAATTCAGTGGCGGCCCCTGACATATCATATTTTTGGTGGTTTTCGCCAATGGTCATCCCTCATTTTTTGTTGAAAAAACACGAAACAAAACGGCCATACGGGGCGCCAGGTTGTACATAGAGGGGAGCTGGCTTAGGGGTTGCGGGTAGTTGGGAGAGGGAAAATGTCTCTCCTCCCCCAAAACCCCGGCCAGCCCCTTGCAAAATGCCCGGACAAAAAGGATGGAATTTGCATTGTCCATGGGTTTTTACTTGTTCTCACTCCTGTACAGGGGCTTCCAAATTAGAACAAACAAGGAGTTGCTTTCTTCATTCGATTCCATTTAAGTCCTAGTTAAAATCCTACTTGGCCAACCTTAATTCTACTTTGAATTCTACCATGTTTGACACTTTTTGTGTTTTACACCTTTAAGGGGCAGGCACACTAGAAGAAACAACCAGCGTTTTGTGATACTATTCTAATGCCACACAGGAGTGAAAATGAACATGCTAAGAGCATTGCAGCTACTCTGGCTTGAATGAGCAGCAGCAAACAGCAGCACGTTACAACAATCCATAGCGTAGAGGACCCCGTTGGGTGATTCAGAACTGGCAGTTGCAAGCACTCTTCAGCGAATCAAGTGTACAACTTGCTCAAGATATCAAGCCTCAGCAAAATCACACAAACTTCCACTACCACACTCCCCCAATCTTGGTGCAATTAGGCTGTAGTTAGGTTAAGTAACTGATCTGAAATGATCAGACATTTCGACTGTAGTCGCGAAATAGGATAACTGCCAACCTCTACTGGCGATCGAGTTGCTCGGATGGCGTTACGTATCTGATTCTGGACGCCGACAACTGCCTGAGCGCGGTTGTGTCGGCACCGATATCTCACTGATATGTTTTTACTTGTTGTCACCTTTTAACCGAATAGCTTGTGCAGTGTTTCCTTTCTGGCTTGCTCCGAATGTGAACACACTTCTTGGTTTGGCCGTGTCTGTATTGGGCTATTTGCTTTTGCAGCGGCCTTCCCCCGATTTGAGTGAACCTTGTCCGTCTTGTGTGGATTCCTTCGGCATGGCGCGCATGTACAACACACAACGCACAACACGCAACACACATTACACACACACACACACCACATACACGCTTCCATATTTCAATATCACAAGTTGACCCGGGACCCGGTGTTGGGGACTGCCTGGAAAAAGGCAACGTGAAATAGGGAGGGACGTACGTTTGACAACCGCTGATTTGTTGGACATTTTGAGACAGTCGACAGGGCATTTTAAGTCCTATATCCCGTTCACAGCGTTTTTGCTTTCTGTTTTGCTAATGGTCTTGGCCGCCGTTGCTTCGACACGAGCGAGAGAAAACCATGCAAACCCGAGCAAAGTTCCAAGTGCTTTTTTTTTCTCCCGGAGTTGCGAGTGTTTACGGCACAAAGGGCAGTGGGAACACCCACTCAAAGGGTTGGTGGACATCAATCCCCACCTAGATGACGTCCACCAAAGGCTCCCCTGTTGAAACTCACACCCTCATTAGATTTTACACACGGGAATGGTGGCCATCTTTGGAGGCACAAAATCACCCCGGAAATAGGTCCCTCTCAAGGACTTTAGTAAGTCCAGGGAATGTTTAAACATGTTTAAACATTGCTGAGACCCTGGGGTACACAAAAGTATGCTCAGATTCTAGTCCAGAATTAATCAACGGCAACGTCGCTGCCCTCCAGATGCCCAGAAATTCGTTTTTCCAGAAAACCGCGAAACATTGACAGGAAATTGTCGTTTTTGGAGCAACTAGCATGAGTGTTCCGGGCACACTTTCGTGTAAGTAGTTCACAAAGGGCAAGCGCAGTTGCTTGCAAGTTTTTTCCACCGGCTGCCTGGCAGTTTTGGGGTCCGTTTTGTGTGGGCATCCAGCTTCTGGGAATTCTGCAGGAACTCAGCGCATGTACAAGTAGTGCTCTCATTCGTGCTGCTTTCTTAGAGGCAGTGGAAAACCATGACCAAAGTTAGTGGTTCGCTCTTCACTGCCAAACTTGTGGGATGTGCCAGTACGTGCCAGTAATCCTACTGAACCCGAGACACATCTAAAATCCAAAGGGTTGCCTGAGAACCGAGCAAGTCCCCAAAAGGAGTTGGCAT